AGATCTCAATTTCAGTGAAAATAATCGTGATTATTATTTTTGCCATAATCAAGCAGCCCTACTGTAAAGTTCATTCGGGCTAAACATACCTCTAATTTTGACTGATAGTTCTCTATATGTTATCGCTACCACAAATTCTCAACTTGTCACATTATCATTTGATACACTAAAAAATTTATTACATGCAGACATTGTAAATATGCCCTTTTTCACTATATAATAACTTAAAGCCCAAGATAATGGCAACCAGGTTGGCACAAACTATTTTGCAATTGCAGGGCAACCACAGATGTAAGTAATAAAATTAAAAACTGCTTCCTTTTATTTTTGAGGTGCCCCTCCCACAAATAAGCATGAACCTGGGAATGGGCCTATTTAAGTGGAACAGGCCATAATTAAATGTTAATGGTACAAATGTTACTAATTACACCTGTATTTACTCTCCATTGATGTGTCAAAATAACTGCTGTAAAGAGTATCAGTTTATTGGTGGCTTTAAAGTCCTGCACTGCTTCAGGCTGCCGTGAAACATATAAAATGACTGTATGTTCATTACAACAGGACTTGTCCCCCAAGTAATAAGAAAAACAGGCATGTAAGTGTCCTACTTAATGGAAGTGTCTGCACTTTGTTCAGCCAGAACATTTCAGCACAAGGCCTTCATCAAGGTGTTTTATGAAGCTGTTAAGAGTGTGTTTGTAAAGTTTTCAGACCCTTTCAACTTTGCCACATTTTGTTTGTTTTTTTCGTGTGTGTGGGGTTTTTTTAGAATCAAATGGGGGTTTTTTTTCTTTTCAATTTGCACACTTTGCTCTACAATAACAAATCCACAACTCCCATAAAAGTCCTGCTATGAGTAAGAGTCGAAGAAATTAAGATTGAGAAATTATATTTTCAAAAGGTTGCATTGCAAAAGGTAAACTGTACTAATGAATCCTAAAACAATGACACGTGTGTGTGTGTGTGTGTGTGTGTGTGTGTGTGTGTGTGTGTGTGTGTGTGCCAAAAGTATAATCATTTGAAGACTGGTGTTTTTCCAGATTTGGGTGTACTCTGATGTACCGCCTGAATGAATTCTAAGGATAAACTATAAAATACACAAAAGCATGTCTTTTTTTCCAGAGTCCCATAAGAGCACCGTTCACTCCAGCCTAATGAATAAATAAAACAAAAGCTGCTATCTGACTCACCGGTAATGTTGATAAATGATGGTTAACAAACTAATAAACAACAAGACAACATAATAGAGCTACTTTAAAAGCTATTTTTAGTTCACCAGGAAAAACATGTTGTCAGCCTCTTTGCTGCTACCAAATACCTTTAAATAGTAAACAATTTGCATTGTGTGTTAGCTAGCACTCTGAACTCCTGATGTGGTAATATTGATGGCACAGCTAGCAAACTACACCTGAGTTCATAAAAGTAACAAGGCAAGATGACATGTAGCAAAGCTTGTGGAATTACCTCTGTTGTGTTGTGGACAAGCAATTCTGTTTTTCAGAGCAGAATACCCCAATGCTAACTGTTACCATCTCTCACGCAAGCACGCTAACCCGTCTACCCTTCCTTATCTTCCTATCATCTGTGGCCTCACCCCATAATCAGCCTCAAGGTTCTAGAGAATAAACAGCAGCAAAAGTGTCACAGCACCTTCCCGAAGGGCCTGGCTATTTCTCCGCCTTGCGTTTTTTTCATAGTTTTGTAGTATCGTGGGTAGATTAATTAGAATAAAATGAGGAGAATCCATATTAAATTTGACACAAAGTGTGATAAACTTAAATATCAGTTGAAATATCAGTTGGGAGCAGTTTAAAAAGATACTATTCCAACCATGCTGTCAAATTAATAATATTTTTATTATATTTTAAGAGCAACAATGCTTTTTTTTATGTTAAGACTTATCAGATCTATTTTGCAGTTTCTTTTCCATTATGCTCTAATTTAATCAGGTGTATCTAAATATTAGCAAAGCAATTTATCATTTAGCAGAGTAAATCTAGCTTGGGTTATCATACCTGCAGGGCTACACATTAGAAAATGTGATCATTGAGAAGATTACACATATGGTGCCATGAGAAACAGAAGCAGTACAAAGAGAAAAGAAAAGCTACTTCTGGTGTAAAATGAGTTGGTTGCATCATTTTTCTATTTACAAGTTAACCTCTGCACAGTAAACAAAAATAATTACAGTGTATGGAGGATGACATTTGAAAGTACCATTGTGCTGGGACATAAAATGGGCCCGGGCATTTTGACTAGAAACCGGCCCACCAGGTATTAAAGCCATAAAGTTTGAATGAAAACAAACTTCATGCACAGTTCATAACTTCCCTTCAACTCATTCATGTCACCTAAAAGGTAAACCTGTTTCTCCATCACCTGTTCAGCTCTGATGAAGTAAGGACATGTCCTGGTTTCATCTTCATGTTTCCCTCTCACCACATATCCGAACCGATATCATGACCAGCAGCTTTTACAGCTGTGGCTCAAGCAAACATCAGCTGATACTAGAAATTAATATTAAATAAATTCTAACAACAGCTGATCAAGCTTAAACATGCTGCTGTTGTTTAGCGCGACATCCGCTGGTTTCCTCTTTCTGGCGCAGAGAGAAAAGCCGATCAGCTGATCATTGATCAGTTTCATGATTGAAGCAGCAACAGCAGAGGGAGGGGGAGAGAATGAGAGAAGAAGAAACAGCTGCGCAGCGTAAAGACAGAATAACTCCAGCTTTGTGTCTTTTTCCATTCTAGCTGAAGTCCTGGACAAAATACGAAACGCGTAATATTTTCTCTGAATACGGGACGATTCCTTTTCTTACGGGACGGTTGGCAACTCTACTAACTAACCTTAGGAATAAAATAAAGTTCACTATCAGTAACATCATAGCACCCACCCAGCTGTATAGAAACTCTATCATGCTAGCTAGTAGGCAGTACGAGTTATTGTAACTGACTGTAAAAAGTCAGCACAACGAAAATAAACTCCACCTAAACTTGGTTTATATCTGACCCAGATAGACTGCAGGTCATAACTTCTTACCTGAAGTTCAGTTCACCTGACACTCGGACCAGCGGCCGCCTCGGGTCTCTCCTCCTCCTGCCTCCCCTTTCCCTCATCCACCTGCTGGCCTCTGTGAAAGCTCCGCCATAGCCACCACCAAACAACTGAGTTATTTTTACACATCGGCCAGCATCTGGCCAATCCACCACCTTTCATTGTTTATGCTGTTACAAGAAAAAACAAAACAACAAACAAACAAAAAAACAAACCATTGGCCGATAAAAACAAAAAATCACATCGGCCCGCCGGGCATTTGCCCGGTATACCCAATGACCAGTCCAGCTATGCCTCTGTAACATTCACAATACAATTCTGGTTAAATGCATCGTCTGCTTCAACTTGCAATAGTTACCAGAAATATTTTGTGGATATGTCATGTATTTGTGATACTTTTTTCAAGTACTTTAATACATCCTGAAGTTTGTAAAATTATTTTTAGTACAGAAGCGAGCCAGGTTTAAGACTCAGGAGTCATTGTGTAGGGGAGACCGGGGATAGTTGTAACGTGGGTCAGTTGTAACACTTCCAATTTCTCCAATCAGGGCTAAGTTTCAAATGATGTGACTCATCCTGTGCATGCCCAATTCAGTTCTGCTATCACATGTGAAAAATCAGCACATTTTGTCAAACACAGACAATTTAACATGAAAAAAAGTCATTTGTATGCCAAAAAGTAAGTTTTTCTACTTTATTTCAATTTCTAATAGCATTATCCGCTTTGCAATTAAACTCATCAAACTTAAATTATGTTATTTGTATGTCTATGGGGATATATTCTGTGTAGGTCTTTAGAGCTAATGTTTTAGCCGTTGGCTGTAATGTTAGCTAGTTCATGGCTATAGGAGTCTGGGTCAGTTGTAACAGCAACAGTCTGGGTTAGTTGTAACAATAATGCAGATGTTACAACTTACCACACTATTACTTTAACTTATATTAAACAAGTTGGGGCAGCGACATCAGCAGAGAGAGGTTCACTGGTCGCTTTTGTATATGCGGTTAATGCCATTGGCAACACAATTCCTCCACTGTTTGTCTTCCCACACATACATTATGCAGACCTCTGTGTCAGAGATGGACCAGTAGGAAGTATTGGTAGTGGAAATAAGTCAGGATGGGTGCAAGAAACAGATTTCCTCATCTTTCTGAAGCACTTTGCAAACCACACCAAGGTAAGCCATGATCAAAAGTAATGGAATTGCGATGCTGGTGAACAACTACATTTTTTCAGCTTCATTGTTATGTTCAAAATTGGTGCAAGAGTTGTAGGTTATAATGCCCACTGAGCCAATGAGGCCAAACTCAAGGAAGACCAACCAAAATTAATGAAATATTCAGTTGCAGAAAATTCCATAATTTGTCTTTTTTGGGGGGTTGGAATATGTTCAAAAGCTAGATTTCTGCATTCTGTCACACACACACACACACACACACAGCTACATAAATGGATGTAAGCGCATTCATGTGTTGAATAAACAAAGATTACATGTTAATGTTTTGTTAGTACCCTTATTTCATTGTGTTACATTTCAGCCCAGGATATGTTACAACTAACCCAGACTATGGGGTTAATTGTAACATTTCACTCTTTGTGTTTGAGACCATACCATGCAATGGGTAATTGTGCTGCAGAGAAAATAGCTGCACTATTTAATAGCAGAGACATGTAAATACTTTGCATTACATTTTGAATCCACTACCTTAAAAGAGCTCCAATTTACAGACAGAAATGTCAAAAATGTTACAACTATCCCCGGTCTCCCCTACTTGGGAAAACTTATCTTTCAGGGATTTGTACCAGAATTTTCTTGCACATAGCAAGCATTGTCTGAATGAGTGTAGTTTAGCCCAAAGAATCTCTTTTTCTACAAATCTAAACTAGTGATTTTGGAGACCAAATCAGAACCAAAATGAGTCTGGATATAACACTTAACAGGTGGACGGCAGAAAAAAAAACACTTATTATTCAAGCTAATGCTATTGTTCATCAGTGCCTTAATCAGCTTTCTTTCTTTACCCTCTCCCTGTGATTAGCATTATACACAAGAAACATTACATTTCAATCTAAAAGATAGGATAACTCTGCTCAATTTACATGGTTTTCTGGCTTACAAGTTTAGTGCTAGCTTCGTAAGCATGTAGGTAGTTACAAGGGAATAACAATCTTACATTAAGAAATGGTGTAATAATAGCTCTATATATTGTATAGATACACAGTAAGCACACACATATTATACTATAAATGAAAAGTTTTAGGCTATATATGTGGGTCATATCTAAATCATAAAAGCTTAAGCTTAGTCAACTTGGACAAAGTTGCATGTGTAGCTAGCTCCATGTTCAAGTTCCTGACGTAATCTTTGCCTAAATATAGTATTGCCATATTTTTGTACTCCGCTTTAAGACTGTGTACTGGATGAGACACTTTACTTTTTATGTTGGTAACTTAATCTCTTTCCAGTTGCCTGGTAACCAGACTGAGCTACTTTCGTTTATAAGTTTCTAAAGCATGTAAATTAATTAAGTGAAAGCAGTAATTACATGAAACACAGCATTTGCAGGTAGTTGCTAATTAAAGCTCAAACATTTGTAACATTTGCTAATGTAATACCTCAAATTAGCCATAATTTTGTGTGAAACTTTAGAGGTTTAGATGTTTTTGGATATAAATTCCAGCTAGTTTTCTCCCATCATGCCTTGGCACATGTGCTACTGTTTAGATGTTCTTGTTTTATTGTTTATGGTTATGTTACTTTTAACTGGGGTCCGTTCTTCGTACCTCGCTTACTACACCCAAGATCAAATGACACATCCAAGATCAAATCATCGCGCTAACTTTGAGCTCGCTATTCCGGTTCTCCGAACACACCTGTTGTTGACGATTAGTATAGCTGGATGAAGTAATGTGAGATCACTGGGTGGCTTAACAGGGGCTACGCATCGATAGTAGAAACATTGATCGGCAACCCTTTGATTGGTCGGCGAAAATGTCGAAGGAGCGCGCTCGGTATTTTTCGGCAGCAGAGCAAGAACTCTTGATTGAGGGATTTCAGGAGTTTCAGAGTTTAATTAAAACGCAAGGGAACACTGCAAAGGCTGCAAAAGCAAGGAGAGAGGGCTGGCAGAAAGTTGCTGACAAATTAAACTCGTAAGTAATTTAATAATATAATAATAATGGATTGGATTTATATAGCGCTTTTCAAGGCACCCAAAGCGCTTTACAATGCCACTATTCATTCACTCTCACATTCACACACTGGTGGAGGCAGCTACGGTTGTAGCCACAGCTGCCCTGGGGCAGACTGACAGAAGCCAGGCTGCCATATCGCGCCATCGGCCCCTCTGGCCAACACCAGTAGGCGGTAGGGTAAATTTATTATATTACACTATATTATATTATATTATATTATATTATATTATATTATATTATATTATATTATATTACATTATATCCTCTTTCACATTAGAGCCACGACAGGACCCACTAGAACATGGGAACAAGTAAAAGTGAAATATAAGAATATTCTACAGAATGGTAATATTTATCACTTATATTGCTTTTAGTCTCTTGAAAAGAGACCCTGAAATAATCTGTTTGTT